GTGATTAAGACAGTGGTGTGACGCCGTACAGTCCGGCAAAATTTCACCGACGTTTATGAGGAAAATAATGCTTCCATCTTCCAGTCGAATTGTAAGCGAAGTAACCAAGAAGAAATAAACAACAAACTTGTTTCTCTCTGGTTGCTTGCTCATTATTGGACCCTGAAGAAGGAGCCTTTACGGTACCCTGAAACCTTTGTAAAATGTTACCAAATTTAAAAAAAAATCACATCCCGAAAGGTAGTATTCTATTGGATAATTTGAATTTTATGTACAACATGAACTAATTTCAAGTTTCAAAATTGTTATCACTTTTCCTGAAAATTGTAATGTTTACAGTTTGATAAAAGTTACAGGGTACGTCCCATGCAGGGCTAGGGACCTGTAGCTCAATGTTCACTTTGCACAAGTGAGCAAATTCGAACAATTTTGACATGCTTGTGTTTCGCTGGAGGATCCACGCTACAGTGCACAGCAAAGCAATTGCCTGTTACAGAATAGTATAAAATGTTCACATTACAGGGTAAAACTCAAGGCTACTTGCTGTAACTGACCGTCTGCTTTTATTCAAACAATTTCTTTATAAATGCAACAGCAGAATCCTGTGGGCTTCTCTGTCTCTTCAGTACCACTCAGCTAGTAGCTCTTAACCTATATCACTTCCCCGATTTACAATATCCCATACCCCTCCCCCCTCGAAATTCTCCATGAAATCAGTTACGTGTTTTATAGTCTTAACTCCTCCCCATGAACGGCTCCTTAACGGACAGTATATTCTTCCGAAAAGATCTAACCACGTACCAGACTACGCGGTGTCATTATTCAGAAGATCACGATTTTAAATAATACTGAAGCGAAAGCTTGAGAATCTGTCACGTCAGTTTGGTTTGCAACGACAGAATAAGTGAAACTTCGCTGTTCATAAGAGACAAACCCATGTTCTCGTCAAAGAGGATGTTATATAAGGACTATGGCCACAAGAGTTCAGTTGCAAAAAAGTCTCTGGTCGGGAACCTCAAGGGGCTTGACACAAAGACGAACTGATTGGCAGTAAACCGCCAGTCGTAAAGTAACTTTGGCTTTGACTTGATAAAACTAAGAAAGTTCCAGCAGCAGTATTAGTGATAGTGTCAGCAGCAGCAGTAGCAGCGGGAATAGTAGCAACAATAGACATTACAATTGCTGAATGTGTAAGAGAGCTCAGTACAGCAACGACGCACTGTCATGTGGCCAGCGCAGGAGTGTCACCGCGATGCGAAATGACGTTAGGTTCAACCTAGGTTGAACCTGTGGCATGAAATGAAGCCACCCACCGCAAAATTGTGTTCCGAGTATGGATCCTATCGCGACGCCCGAGCCGAAATGAGTGCTGAAGGCTCGTTGAGTGGCGATCACAGACTCTATTTTTCAAAAACGTCTCTACGATGAACGCACGCTGTGCACCCGACCACTCCATGTTACCAACTGAAACTGCTTTCTTCCGCCGACTCAACGGTCGCCCCCCCCCCACTCTACGCCTCCCCCCGTCGCGGCGTAACGGTCACTTGAAATCCAACAATCCTTTCTGACGCACTCTGTACATATATTTGTTGCCACACGCTGTATATTGTTTGTGTGTTTTAGAATTGCTCGGTGACATGGACAGTCTATACAGGTGAGGTGTGAAGTATATATCGATTGTAAAATGATGGAGAGAACTGTTCACAAATGGATGGAGTAGCGATTTCAGCGGCATGCATCCATCGTTCTCACATTCGCCTTCAGAAGAATTCTGCGCGACACGGAGCCCAGGAAGACAAGAAAAGGCAAAGGAAAGAAATGAAATGAGGAAGATAACTAAAAGGAAGAAGGTGAGGAAACAATGGACGAAAGAATGGAAGAAGATACAAGAACAATGTAAGAGAGAAGAAAGGAAGCAAATATATAGAAAGAAAAATTTGGAAGCAATCAGAGCAGGAAAAAAGAATGGAGATTGATATACTCTTGGATATGACGTCATACATTCTAGTAGAAATTTCCCAACATTTTGAACGATCCTGCTACCTACATCCTCATGGTAGAGATGATGGCGCAGGTTCCTCTGAATAATCAGTAAATATCTACCAAACTACACGGTATTACACCCTAGAAAACACCAATCTTCATAATTAAGATTGCGGTTTTCTGAGTTATGGTAGCGCTGGTGTTTTTCAACGTTTCGGAGGAATGTATTACCTCCATCTTCGCGAAACAAACGTCGAAGTCTTGGTTTTAGTTGTAAGCGTCTTGACTTGTACCACCAGGATGAGGGTAGCATGTTTCTTAGACGCATTTAGTAACCACTTACACTATCAAATCTAATCACGTTTTGTAAACCCCTGTGAGTGGAAGAGAAGTGGCATGTAACATGATTCCACCTGAGCAGTCTAAGTGCAACGTGGCGACTCTAAGATAACGTGTCATAAATATTTATGATTATGTGCAGACAGCACTCGAGCGGCGGGTAGCGCTCTCAGTGACTCGAGCGCGTGGAGCCCTTCTGACTCTCAGAATCGCGTCCCTTCACGCGGCGACGAAAATTCTTACCGATTTGATAAAATCTTGTTTCACAAACTTGTTACTTACAGCAGAGACCTCAACTAACCAACCAACAGACTTTCTCTTTGTTGTTTTTAGTTAAGACTTTATCAACATAGCAAAACTTCAATACCGCAGTTGGTATAGTGACTGGCTACGGGCTAGACGACCAAGGGGTTTGTATACCGGTGGAGGCAAAAATTGTAATTTCTCCATGTTCAGACCGGCTCTGGGGTCCACCCAGTCTCCTATCTAATGGGTACCTGGGGCTCTTTCCCCAGGGTTAAAGCGGTCAGGGTATGAAGCTGACCACTCACCTCCAACTAGTGCCGAGGTCAAGAAAACACGTCGTCATGGCGTAGTGCTTAATTACTTGAGCACAGGGACTTTACCTTATCTCACCAAAACTTCACAAACATTTAATTGTTTATTCCTATTACATGCCAAGGGTCGAAAACGTCGACATTTACAGAGACTTCTCTGTCTGACAAATTTCGCCATCTTTTGAGTGTTAATCTGAATTGCGTAGTCAAATGAACACCGAGGAGAAACTTTTCATACATATTTGAAATTCTTGTTTACTTTTCTATTATTTCCCCATTCAAGAAGAGAAGTTGTGGTAACCTAAAATGGCGGCCTTTGCACTGTAAGTACAAAAGCTAGAACTTCTAGGGTTAAATTCCAGTGGTAATTATATATACCATATACTCTGACTTTCAGAAAATCTTCGTTTCGCCCACATAATGAGTTTATGTGTTTCATATGATGTTTGCTATAAAGACCAATTATTTCCTTCAACTGCATTAACCGGATGGTTCGTGTAATGCATACGCAGTGTGTTTTCTGAGAGGTACGAAATGAATTTGCAGGTACTGTTTACAGGAACGTCATTCCAGATTCTGGAGAGTGTAAAATGTGATAATAAGTCTCGCGGTATTCTGAACCGAAAATGACTGCGCTGGCAAGTGCCAACACCAATTTACCCAACAGATCATGTCTCGGAACCTTTAAATTTGGAAATTGTTTTCTCCTTCCGCTTCACCCGAAAATGCAGTCCCGCTACCCCTTTACTTTCTCTTCTCCCTTTTTTTCCACCCTTCCCCCATATTTTCGAAACCACTTGACAAATAGCGATACTACTCGTAGTATCCATTCGGGAATTACCCGTTTCTAGTATCGATGATCGACTATTCTGCTAAGCTACTGTACTTCAGTCCTTCCAGGAGACTGTGTATATAGTATCGTCCATGACCACTTCCAACCACACACACACACACACAAAATTCATTCTTCATAATCACAGCCTAGTAACACCATGGCGCACGGTTCGTATTCACAAGCTAATAGTCGCTAATCCAGTGAAAAATTTCACCTCGGCTTTTATGGAAGCCGAGTGTGTGTTTACGTGTTTAAAACAGTTCGCCAGCATTCTCTATCCTGAGCAAGATCGTAATCACTCAGTAACATATGAAGCGTGTCCAGTAAGTCTCCATATAACACGAAAGAGCTGTNTTTACCGGTTCTCACGGTCTTGTCGCTTGCAGATTTCTTATACTTTTTCTTCTACCCTGAAGATGGAGGCGATACGTTCCTCCGAAACGTCGGTTAACACCACATATACACGGTGCCAAATCCCAGAAGACTGCTTTCTTTATGTTAAGTTAGTTTATGTTTGGTTAGGATAGGTTTGCTTTGGTTGTGTTTGGTTAGGTTAGGTTAAGTTATCTTGGTTCTGATAGGTTCGGTTAGGTTGAGTTAGTTAGATCACGTTAAGTTAGCTTAGGTTTCGTTAGGTTAGGTTAGGTCTGGTTAGGTTAAGTTAGGTTAGATTATGTTATGTTAGCATTATATTGCAGCGTCATGTTGCACTTTTCCCTTAGTGTCGATTAGCTTTTTACAGTCTCACCTGTAACACTACGTTCTATAAAATGTACTAAACGTTAATCACTTCTAAAATTTTTTCGCTACATGTTTCGACTAATATGATCATCATCAGGTCTGATAGTAAACAGAAATACAGTTCGGCGGCATTTTATGCAAATTTGTTATAGCACGACATAAAAATATTAATCAAATATCACCTTATGCGCATAGTTCGAAATAAAATAAATCCAAAAAGTACGGCGAGAGTCACGTATCTGTTTCAAAATTCGCAGGGCGAGAACATTTACTTTTTACCACATTGCGGCCCCACTTTAGATGGTAAGCAGAAATACCCTACATCCTTTAACAGTATCTTGTGAACCACGCTATTTTCTTATATTATGCGAAGTTCTCAGGAAAGCAACTTCGCATAATATGCTTCGGCGCCGTATTTAAAATTAATTTAATTTGCACGGCTGACGTAGTATTTCCTGATTTTCTTGTGTGTGAGCAGGTTGGTAAAATGTCGGTATATTTGGGGCAGTTGTCAGCCCTGTAACGAGGTGGTACCACTGTTGCAGTGAACGTGTACGATGGCGAGCAGCTGAACCTGACGCGCATTAGCCGGACGGAGATGGGCGCGTACCTGTGCATCGCCACCAACGGCGTGCCACCGTCCGTCAGCAAGCGGATCATTGTCGACGTTGAATGTGAGTAACAGAATTGATGCTTCAATGGCTGGTGGTAACTGTGTGTACCACCTGGTTTAATATTAGATAACTCTGCATTCTGCCCACACATCGTACTTGTGTTTCGTATGGTTCTCGCAATAAACAGCCACTGTTTCCTTAAACAGCATTAACCGGTTGGGCTTTTTTAGAGGATACGTTCCAAATGGCGAAGCCTAATCGAGTCAAGAAATGAACCCTCCTGACAAACCTTATCCTGCTTCATGGTTCCACATTTCTTGCTGGAAAGCTGATAGTCGTTCAGTTGATCAAAAAGCTTCCAATTTTCATACAGTGCTGGTGTTTGCGTTTGTTCCTCATTAGATTTCATCCTGAACAAGTAGAATCATTTCCATCCATTCACCTTCTTTCCTTAAGATACATTTCATTATCATCCTTCCATCTACCTCTGCATGTACCAAACTGCCTTTACCGTAGAATGAATTTCTCATACCTTACAGCTACATGTCCGGCCCTTCTTCATCTAGGTCTCATTACCCTATATATCTTAAGTTTTTATTATAATGATGGTGATTATTATTATTATTATTATTATTATTATTATTATTATTATTATTATTATTTTGGCTCTACAGCCCTTTGTTGGACCTTGGTCCCTTTTCAGTTTCTTGATCCTATACACAGTCAGTAGGACTCCTTGGACGGGGGATCGGCCCGTCGCAAGGGCTCCACCTACACACAGAACAACACAGACACAGAATAAACGCACACAATACAGACGTCCCTGTCTTGAGTGGGATTCAAAGCCACGATTCCAGTGTTTGAGCAGGAGAAGACAGCTCATGCTTTAGACTTCCTGGCTACTGTGATCGGCAGAAATCTTAAATGAAGATTATAAATTATTATGATAGCTCAGTCAGTATAGTGACTAGTCTATGAGCTACACAACCAAGGCTCCATTCCAGGCAGAGGCAAGAAATTTTCACCAACTCTGGCTCAAAAAGCGGCCGGTGTGTATTGCTGACCACTCTCTTCCATGTTGTTTCGAGATCAAAACTGCATGTATTCCTGCATATCCTTAATTACGCAGAGACAACTGTACTTGTTATGTGTGTATGTAGAACCAGTTTAAAAATTAATTAATCTGCAAATCAACGACTAAAATCAGAGGACCCCCCCCCCATGATCCTTCGATCACAGTAGTGAAATTTTGGGTTCCATAGAAGGCAGGTGGTTTCTTAACTAGCTAACCAACTGCTAGCTTCTCAGCTACAGCTTTAACGGAGAAAGATATCTCAAACCGATAATGCTAGAGCCTTGTATTTGGGAAATGCCTGGTTCGAATCTCGGCCGTTACACTGCCTATATATACTGTTGTATTCCGTGGTTTTCCTGAGACCGCCCAGACAAATTCCGAGATAATGTATTAAACTTGGCCACGACCACTTCCTGCACATTGGTTATTTTATAAATAACCATGCCATTTCAGTCATTACACGAGCAACTTTCATTAACGTTGTTAAATAAACAATAAAATATGTCAATATAACAGGCCGTAGAGTCCCATAGGGTTGTGAGACGTCGAGGCTCCCACATTTTCTAGACAGTCAGCTGTGAGATTGTGAGCCTTACGCGCCGGCCGCTCTTCACCCCCAGGAAGATTCATGGTAATTATTTCTGCTAGAGACCGAGTCGAACCCAGGGCCATAGTGCGGCTGGAAGAATTAGGTAAAATGAAAAATCCAAAGACCTCATCGGGAACCGAACCCGTAACCTTCCGGCTTTTAGCATAGTGCCTCAAATAGCTACGCTACAATAAATAAAATCCTATTCTGCTTCATTGATATATTTAGTTAGTACATTAGTATGTAAGTATGTCAGTTAGTTAGTTAGTTACATTGTTAGCTAACTAATTGGTTACATACCAAACATCTCACGCCTCATTACTAATTAGCCTGTATAATCTTTCTGTAACTTTTGGTTTAGAAATACCAAAAATTGTCTAGAACTGGAATATTTATGGAATTGGACTTCCCTCACCCTGCGACCCACTGAGATACATATCCACGTGCCATCTGTAAAATAACTTGGCCATTATACTAATTTATTGCTGAAATGGGGCAAAGAACCGCCTGGAATTAGAACATAATAAAAATTGCTACGGGCATTGCGGCTACTGCGCATGTGCAGGTCGCGCTCATTGGACCGAGCTCCGTCTCTGAAGTTCCGTGGGCAAAACATGCCTTAACAGAAAGTGTCTTTCAACACAATCACACAACTCATCAAGTTCCTACAGATATATTGCTATTGTTTTTTTTTCTCGCGGAAGTGGTATACATAGGCCATATAAGAAGGTGTAATGATAGCGAAAATATCAGTCCAGGTTTAGACGTTTTCCCATGTTCTTGAATACGGAAGTATAGTGTTCTGAATGTCGTCTGTATAGGTATATATATGTATAGTTCTAACCCTCGCTGACGCCGGAATGGCTGGATGAATTTTGTTCATATTTGGTATTTAAGAGAAATTTGTAAAGCCAGGTAACATCTACCACTGGTATCATCTGTGGAGTGTTCAGGTTTTACTCCACAGATGACACTACTGGTAGATGTTACTTGTCTTCACATTTTTTTTTTACATTTCTTCGCATTGGTGCTCATGCACTTGGTTTTTTGTCGGCTAGGTTTCTAACACAAAATTCTACTTCCGCTTCTATCCTAGTTCCACGCATGTGCATGCTCTATCTCAAATTTTATTTTATGGTTTCTTGTTATCTCCCGCTGAACTAGTCTAGTCTTATATATTGAAATAGTTGGGTCAATCGTGGCAGGAGTTGTATAGGGATTGAGATTAACTATTTCTAAGGGGCCCAGTTGTGTAGGCGTCTTTATTCCTCGGCTAAAGACGGAAACAGATCAAGTTTCCGAAACGTCGTGTTTTATGTTTCCTAGGATTCCGGGCGGTGGTAAAAGTCCAAAACCCCAGTCATTTTGCGTGTTATCCACCATCGTCAGGACACTTTAGAATCTATTTTGGACCTCGCCAGTGGATGGAGATGGTCACCTCCACGACTCGACCCTGGCACTTAACCCCCGGGGGAAACAACTATCCGGTACCCACTGAACTGGAGGCTGAAACGGTCCCAAAACCGGTCTGGACATAGGAACAAGAGAAAAATCAAACCGCGGCCATCCGGCCCGTAGATCATCGAACTTTCGACTGAACTATCCCAGTTTCTGTGGTTCATACTCGTAAGCCTACTTATTTAAAAAAAGCAAGAAAACAATTACATAAAGCACTGTACTTCGCAATCCATGGAAATGAGTCTGCTACTTCAATTATAAAGCTCTTAGTCTGTTTTTTTTCTTGCGGTGGGGTGAGACTGAGTCCACTTGGTACTCGGCCACTAACTGGCTTGTTAGGCCGTGCCGTAGCTCAGGCGGATAGTCGCCGGCTTCACACCGCTGCGTCCCGGGTTCCAGCCCAGGTCAGGGCATGTGGGGTTTGTGGTGAACGAAGTGGTACTGTGGCATGTTTTCTCCGAGTACATCGATTTCTCCTGCCAATTCTCATTCCAGCGACTGTTCCACACTCATCAGCTATCATCCGGGGCTGGTACAATAGGTCAGTTGAGACTGAATCCACTTGGTACGTCAGCCACTAATTGGCCTATTGTACCACCCCCGGATGATAGATGATGAGTGTTGAGCAGTCGGTGGAATTCGAATTGGCAAGGGAAATCGAAGTACTCGGAGAAAACCTGCCCCAGTGCCATTTTGTTCACCTGGGCACGAAGCCAGGACGCCGCGGTGGGAAGCTGTCGATTATATGCCTGATCTGTTGCACACCCAAGCCACTTAGTGGCTCTGTCTTTGAGTTGGAGTTTTCACAACAGTATGCAATTTAGTCTTCTCGGGCGATGAGACGTGGCAATTCGGAGTTGGTATCCGACGTTTCGATGATTCCCTCATTCATAATTCGAGGTGGACGGCTGCTCGCCTGAGAATTCTTCGTTTTTATTTAATGGGTCTGGTTTGAATCTCGGCCCGATGCATGGAATTTTACCGTTGATTTCTGTACTCCGGAGACCACAACCAGTCGCTCTTTTCACTCTGCACTCGATCCACATTGGAGTCTGGGCACCGTACCGCACTTTAGAACTATCGTATCGACTGCCGCAGTTCAGTGAGTAGCATTTGGGCTTCAGTTTCCGGCAGCCACGCGCCCAGTTATCGACCAGGGGCCAAGCAATTCTGACTGAGATATTTCACAGTTTTTTGTCCCTCCAGTCAATTGTCAGGACTGTAACTCAAATTAGGTTACAGTCGGTTCCTCTCACATCCCTTACGGTTTACTTATTCATCATCACCGTAACATTCAACACAAATATTTTGTTTCTGGACATTATCCGTCGTCCTGCTTTTATCTAAAACAACTTGTTTTTATTTAAAAAAAACATGATGATGTTTTAGATAAAAACAGGACAATGGATAATGTCCATAAATAAATATGATGTGTATACTCATTGCTAGACAACGTCTCAATAAACACATTCCCGCGGATGCTACCGCGAGCAAAAATATGACGTCCATTGCTAGGCAACGTATCAATAAACATGCCTCCTTAATAATACAGACTGTGCTTTCTGCGTGGTCCGTGCAAAGAAATTATAAAGAGCAGTTCCGAAGCTGGCAGCAGTAGAGTGATTACCCCGTGTGGAGGCGGGGTCGAATACCTCCACCATAACCCTGCGAGTCGTAGGAGGCGACGAAAAGGGAAGTCTCAATTCTGAGACAGTAAAATATGGTCGCGAGTCCCAAGGGACTCGGACCCGAGTAAGACTGCGCTGGCAAGGACCAGCAGCATATATAAAAGACAGACCCGTCCTCTCGTCAGAGAAGGCGCTCCACAAAAAAAAAACCGTAACTGTCAAACGGTAATAATTAATATTGGTCATGAGCCCCAAATGGGACTCGACACCAAGACATACTGACTGACTAACGGTCAGTCGCAATGTAACT